TCGATAGCAAACCATCTAATGCAGAGGACTGTGTGAAGTGGGCACGACTGTTGTTCCAGGTATATTTTTGTTTTTGTTTTTATATAGGTAATTGAACAATGTTCTTTAGGAGCATTTCCATGATAACATCGCGCAAATGCTGTACTCCTTCCCACCCGATCAGGTGACAGATCAGGGAGCGAAGTTCTGGTCTGGTACAAAACGTTGTCCACATATGCTCGAATTTGATCCCGCTCAGGTACTTTCGCGATTGTAACAAATTTCTTTTACAACGAATGTGATTTAGGAGGAGCATCGCAACTTCGTCTATGCTGCTTCAATTTTGCGAGCAGAAGTTTACGGCATCAAACCCATCCTTGATGTTGATCTCGTCATGAAAATTGCATCGTCGGTGCAGCCACCACCATTTAAACCAAGAGCTAATGTAAAAATCGCGGTTACTGATGCTGAAGCGAAAGAGAATGCGGAAGCTGAGGATGGTGAGTAAACGATCACCAGTTGGATTTATCAGAAATTATTGTTTTCTTCTTTCTTCATGACTCATTATTGTCATAAGCGCACGATCAAGATTTTTTTCAGTCAACTCCGACACTGTTCTAGAACAATTGAAAGTGAAACTTGCTCGACTGAACACCAAAACAATTCATAAGCTCAATCCAATTGACTTCGAAAAGGTGCTGTTAATGTTCTCTCTAGTCTATTGTACCTTTTTTCAATAATTTTTCGCTCCTTTTTTAAATATTCAGTTTTTTATCTTGCTTCTTTTCGCTCAGAAGCGCCTCACTTTCTAGGGAAAATTTCAAGAAGTAACTTTTCCTAAAGTTAAGACCGAATATTCGTTCGAATAAAATACTCGCACGAATGAAATATCCATATCGAGTATTCATAAAAGTGCATTGCATTTTCGATTTTTCGAATAGTCGAATATTTGAAAAAACGCATTTATTCGACATTGTGCAGTTGAATATATTGAAACATCAACATTAGAATAAATTCGACTAGTTGTATTTGAGAATCGAATTATTCGATCTCTTGAGTATCTGCGAAATCATCATGTATGTACCTTTTCGAATGTCTGCGACACTCATTCTGTTAATCGATTATTCATCATTCGATGGTATAGTCGAAAATACAGGATACCCACATTTTTTTTTCTTCCAGTTCGATTATGTCTTAAATGACGATTCGAATATCATTCATTCGCTCGAATATTTTTACCACTAAAGAATACTCGATATTCGTTTATTCGAAAAAATTTCCGATATTTCAACTATAACTTTCCTTTCACTATATCGTAATCTAGTACATGGACAGTCTTTTTTGCTGTAATTCATGTTTTTGCTGTAGTGATATCTCCATCAAAGTGATTGGTTATCTTTCTCAAATCGCTTATTAGATTTTTATCTTGAGGATGACGACACCAATCACCACATGGAAATGATTACTGCCGCATCCAACTTGAGGGCGGAAAATTACTCGATCCCTCCAGCTGACAGGATGAAGGTTTGCCCTGTTGAGTCCTTACCGTTTTGCCATCTATTAACTGCTTTCATTTCAGACCAAACAGATAGCTGGTCGCATCATTCCTGCAATCGCAACCACAACAGCGACAGTAGCTGGTTTAGTGTGCATTGAGCTGTATAAGGTAAGGTATCTTTTTGTACGCATGAGTTTCTTTGATGTTGAATCAATGCTAGTGTTGAAACAGTATAATACTTGCAGATGATCGCATCCGAAGGTTTGCCGAAAACACCTATGAATCGTTTCAAGAATGGCTTCATCAACCTTGCTTTACCGTTCTTTGGTTTTTCTGAGCCAATCGCTGCACAAGTCAAAAAAGTAGGAATTCTTCCTTGCATTATCAAGATGTTCAAAAGATGCTCTGATTTCTTTTAGTATAATGATAACACCTTTACGCTATGGGACCGATTAGAAATTCAAGGACCAAAATCGCTTCAGGAGGCTGTGGACTGGATTGAGGTATAGTTGACAGTCATTTGAAAAACACTGACAAAATTTGAATCAACGCAATTATTTAGAGGATTCATATAATTTTATGTTCTTACTTCAATTAAATTGATTGCTAAAACTAAACAACGTTTTGCTTTCCAGAACGAAACTGGTCTTGAAGTAACCATGCTATCGTCAGGGGTATCGTTAATCTATTCCTTCTTTATGGATGCTAAGAAACGTGCTCATCGCATGCCTATGGAGTAAGTATTTTTGTTCTTCAATTTCTTTTGTCTACAGATCTCGAGAAATTTACTGTTCAAGTGTAAAATCTGTTGTGGAAGATGTGTCAAAGCGAGAGGTGCCTAAACATCAGCGATCGTTGGTTTTGGAAGTGATGGCCACGGACCCAAATACCGATGCAGACGTCGAAGTTCCCTACATTCGATACGTGTTATAGAGTCACTGTCTTCACTTGCCTTGTTCTTCACCAGCAAAGAATCGTTCTCCTGCAACTGAAGTTTTGCTTAGCCCTATGGTGTCGTGGCTCATCTAGTGCAGTTTTCTCTACCTTGTAATAATGCAATTGTTCAATTTAATCTTGAATGGAACCGCCCCACTTGTCTGCTACTGCAGAATGACTTTGCACATCGGCACAGCAGCGTGAGTGCTATGATTTCGCAAAGTTCTACTGGCGTTAGTGTGCAAGTTATGTAGGGTTTCCATATCCTCAAAAAAGCCCCTTCAAAATGTCTTCCCGTTTATTGATAATATCCCTTTTCATCGGCTGGACTTGCACCATTTTGTCTGTGCTTGGTTAACCAGCTCGATGCCGGTGTCCCCCTTGTTGTTAGTGGTATCTTGAATGATTGTTCATGAAGTCTGAGTAATTTATTTTCTATGCTCTTTTACGTAAAGGATTAACAAGACCTGTAATCGTTGTTCTTTGCACTTTGCGGTTAGTACGAGTAAATCATTGTAAAGTTGAACAGTTGTGTAGGGGTTAGAGGTTGTGGTGAGCATAAAACCGGAGAAAGAAGCGCTAAGCAACGACTATGTGTTAAAAAAAAAAACTAGTGGGTCTCTGAGTATCACTTTGATACAGTATTGAAATAATAGTTGAAATCCTAAATT